AAATCTGATGCTGATGAATGTGTTAATTTATTTCAATTGCTCTAAAGTACTTAATTGATATTATCTAACATAACTTTCTCTTTCTTATTGTTACGTATTAAGTAAGGTTTTTAAATTAAATTTTTGGTCAATACAAATAATATGGCAACAGATATTCTTGAACATGCCTTTTACACACATGAACAAGACGTACTCTAACGTATGTAACTGGAAGTGGGACTATCAGACCAGAGGTTAAACAAGCACTTATTTTGTTAGCCACCATCCGACTGCTCCGTGAGGTGGTTATGCCCACCCAGGCTCTACCACCACCGGTCAGCCGCCAGGCGGATGGGCTTGTTTGCTTCCCTCCTTCCCGGTGCTTTCTTGCAGGAGCCTCTGGATGTGATGTATAGCGAGTGTGTTGTGGTGTTTACTCTATCAGGCTAGGTAGCAGCCTTGCCTGTGAAGTGATGTGGACCTGCAGGGCCCTCGGTGAACGCAAACACGGTGCGAGTGGAGTGAGGCTGCTGTGCCCCTCCCTGAAGCTTGCCTGCAGCTCTGGGCACCTCCCTGAGACTTAGGGTGGCTCAGTGGGGAGGGAGTGGGGGTCCAGGGAGAATGGGCCAGAAGAACCCGCCAGCACGGAGCACTCCTTTCCATCCACAGTGGGGCATGTCCAGTGGGGTAAGAACAGAGCCAGTTCTTATTATCAAATAGCTGTCTACTTGGAATTATAATTACTTATTTCTTAGCATGTTCTCCTGCTATTTTCATCTCATTTGTTTTCCACCTTCTTGTTCCCCTTCCTGGTGGCTTCCTCCATTCTCAGTGATATGACATCAGAAATGTGCAAGGAAGAAATTATTTTTAAAATCGGAATTTAAAGTGTAGCACATAATACTTAAGCTCTCTGGAGGAAATCCTGTAACTACTGTACACTACATGTAGAACCCTGAGAGTGAAGTTAGTTTCAGAGGAGAAAAAGGTCTAAGTTGAAATAAGTATTACTTTCTTTTACTAGGATTAAAATATAGGGCCTGCTGAAAACCAGGCATTCCATAACTTCCAAAAGATGAGAGAAACAGTCTCAACAAAAATCACCGAAGTAACTAATAGCATGTACATAACTTTTCTCCATCTGAGGCTCAAATGGAGTCATTAACTCTATATGTGACACCATTAAAGTGATTAAAATGTCCTCCTCCCCAGGCTGTGACATTCATTTCCCTGTGAATTACAAGCTTAGAACACTCTAACATGACTTAGGAAAATATATTCTAAATCTCTGTCCTGGCCTTAAAGACAATAGGAATGATTTTAAGATATACTGTAATTAAGATACCAGGGCAAGGTAATGATCTTCTTATAAATGCATTTCCTACTTTAAATTAGTTCCCTTATTAGGACTGTTAATAAAATCTCTACTGGCCTCAAGTATTTTTAGTGTATGAAAATAATCAAACTATATTTATTAATATTAGGAACAATCAAAGAAGGTAAAAACACAGCCTACAGAACAGATTAATTACAACTGAAACGCATGGGTGTGATTTTTAAACTCATCACTGTAAAGTACAGCCATACTTCACATACAGCCTGTTACTCGTGACGCTGCAAAGTGAGTATTTTGGACTGTATTAACTTTCAAGAGACAAGGTTTGACCCTGGACCAGGCTGGAATGCAGTGGTATCATCAGAGGTCACTATAACCTCACACTCCTGGGCTCAAGTGATCCTCCCGCCTCAGCCTCCTGAGCAGCTGGGATTACAGGTACTCACCACCACGCCAACTTAATTTTTCTATTTTTTGTAGACATGGGAGTTCTGCTCAGGCTGGTCTTAAATTCCTGGCCTCAAGCAATCCTTTCTCCTCAGCCTTCTAAAGTGCTAGGATTACAGACATGAGCTACCACATCCAGTCTTCAAGGTTTTTAAATAGTAAAACTCATCCACCACTCCTTCCATCCCTCTCCATCCCCCCCAAAAAATCTCAAGAGAGACCTTGGCATGTAAAACAGACACTGCTGAAGTGCTCCATGTCTGAGCTCCTTCCTCCGTTTCTTGAAACCGACATTCTGACTTGACTTTCTCAAGAGCAGCTTCCTCCCTGGGGGGTTCCTCTCATTTATCTGTTCACTCTTCCCTTTATTTATTCAAAAAATTGTTGCGCACCCATCACGTGCTTGACTGGGCCGGGCCCAGAGACTCAGGGGAACAGGACCGACGTCACCAGCCTGTCCCAGTGTTTATCACAGATTGTTAAGTTTTGCACTCTGGCTCTGCCTCCATCAAGTTATAGCATTTGTTATTGACACTGATGACGCGTCAGCCTCCAGTTCAGACATGCATGGAGTCAGGATAAAATCAAAGTAACTAATAGCGCTCTGCCAAGGTTCAGTATGTTTTCAAAAACAGGCTCTTTTTGGTAAGATCCCAAAAAAGGTTTTCTGAGAAAAAGATCAAGGATCAGCTCGGCACCTGTGGTTCAAGTGGCTAAGGCGCCAGCCACATATACTTAGGGTGGTGGGTTCGAATCCAGGCCGGGCCCACCAAACAACAATGTTGACTGCAACCAAAAAATAGCCGGGTGTTGTAGCAGGCGCCTGTGGTCCCAGCTATTTGGGAGGCTGAGGCAGGAGACTCACTTGAGCCCAGGAGTTGGAGGTTGCTGTGAGCTGTGATGTCACAGCACTCTACCCAGGGGGACAGCTTGAGGCTCTGTCTCAAAAAAAAAAAGAAAAAGATCAAGGATCAAAGGAAGGTACAATCAAGATTGAAGAATAAGAATTTAAAAAATTAGCCTTTGTGAGAAATGGAAAGGATTTCATTTTTTCCCTTTTTGCTTTTATGGGAAGCAAGAAATCAGCTGACAACAGAATGGAAGAAAATGGAAGTTGGGTCTGAAGGTCTGAAATCAAAGAGAGTGCCGAGGAAACTCCGTCCACTTGGCCTTCCAGTGGGCAGCAATCCTGAGAGGCCTGCAGGTGCCTGACGTCGGGCCGTGCCCATCACAGCTGGCCGCTGCGCCCTGCACAGGAGCTTCAGGCTGGCACTGCAGGGGCAGCCCCAGCTTGTCCGAGCCCAGAAAAGCTGCTGAAGTGGTACAGAAGTCACAGAACCACGATAATGGTGATAATGAGGACGTGTGAATTCAAGAGAACTGATCCATTACAAAGGAATGCTGTTATTCTGCTAAGTGTTACTGTGAGGCATCCTGAAGAAACTCCTTACCGGTGTATCTGGTTCAAGACTTTGCCTTGAACCTCATCAGTTAACGCTGGCGGATGAGGACAGGCATAAACCTAACTTTCAGATACTGAGGTAAAGGCAGATGTGATGTAAAAAGACACCAGGGTTATCATGAGTTTTACCACGAAGGCTTTGTGCCACTAAGTGACTTGTGTCCCATAGTTGTAACACAGGAGGTGGGTCACCTCTCAGTCGAAACTGAACCGTATGTTTCTTTAAAAGAGACTTTAAAAAATTTCATTTTCCTTTTTAATGTTTAGTTCACAGGCTAACTTTTATCTCTGACTTAAATGGGTGGCAAACTTTATTCCTCAATAGATTTCTACACTTCTCAATTACTGTATCTTGAAAAACTTAAGGTTACTTAACAATGTGTGAAATTTGGAGCTTAGTACAGAAGAATTAGTTACAACAGAGAAAAACAAGCTGGTAACTCTCAGAAAGAGAAGTGAAGTAGGAGACCCCACCTTCCTTTTCAAAGGTTGAAAACTGAATACCTGTTGTCCAGATTGCTCACCCAATCAAAGCTGAGGACACGGACCAAGTGCCACTGAAATGTCACAGGGCAAGGGTGAATTTCAACAAGAAAGTTTCAGAAAGCTGGTGGGACCTGTTCCCAAAGTCATTCACCTCGCTCTCCATACCCTCTGATAAAGCACCCACTGACTGTGCTCAGAAACAGAGTGGGGCTGGCTAAGTGCGCCCTGGCACAGCTGGGGTACAGAGCCGATGTGCTAAGTGCGCCCTGCACAGCTGGGGTACAGAGCCGATGTGCTAAGTGCGCCCTGCACAGCTGGGGTACAGAGCACCTGTGCTAAGTGCGCCCTGGCACAGCTGGGGTACAGAGCACCTGTGCTAAGTGCGCCCTGGCACAGCTGGGGTACAGAGCACCTGTGCTAAGTGC